CTCTCTTCTCTCCTGCCTCCCCCAGTAATCTTCCTGTTCTCTTTCTCTCCCAGGTACTCAGAGGTCTCCTTCCTTGAACTTGACAAATTCTTAGAAGACGTCAGGTGGGTTGGAGTTTGCAGGCTGACCATCTCTGTGTTCACCCATCTCTGGTCCCCAGCGTCTCTCTGCCCTCTGCTCCCTGGGCAGCACGGAGCCAGGGCCAGGGCACTGTGCGTAGAGCGTCCGTTCGCACAGCAGTACTGGGTCATGTCTGATCCCCTCTGCGCTTCCCCCCGGGGCGAGCAGACCCGGGCTGCAGTGCCAGGGCGAGGGGGCTCTGTGGCCTGCCACCTCCTCGCCGGCAGCACTGCCGCTCCGTGGTGCGGATCCCTGGTCTGGGCCGCGGCCTTCCACAGCTGACCTGAGCCAGGGCTGTAAGAGGACAGGGCTCAGCTCTTTGTCCTCCCTCTGTGTCTGTACCAGGAATGGGATTTATCCCCTGATGAACTTCGCTGTTTCCAGACCCCACGCCCTCCCACGTGCACTCTCCCAGCCCCAGGAGGACCCTCAGAAAGCCAAGACTCCCACCCCAGAGCCCTTTGATGTGGAGACCAGGAAGGTAAGGTCAGATCCAGGTGGGGACAGATTCTCCACCAGGAGTAGGTGGATGGTCTCCGTTCCCGACACCCTGCTGCAGGAACACCTCTCGCTTTAGCCATGCACTGAACTCCAGCTGGGTGAGAGCTGTTCTCCTCGCTGCATTGGCTGCCCCAGGACTGCGACAGTCCCTCTGGCTGGAGCTGGTGAGGTCCATCTCACCTGAGACCCTCTGGAGCAGCCTCGTTGCCTCTGATTCTTCAGCCCTGCCTTCCCTGCTCTCACATCCACCAGCAGCTCTGTGGCACGGCGTATTCTGTGCCTCGCTGCTGGGGTGCAGGTTTGAAATCCATCATTGTTCGATGCTGACACGGCAGTGGCATGTGGAGGGGCCAGCTGAGCCCAGGCCCTGTCCTGCCTGGCACTGCACAGGCGAGACTGCACACCCCGACGCCAAAGCCACGGGCAGAAAGGTCATTGTGAGTGGGTTTATGGACCCCTAAGGGGAGTGGAAGGGGTGCCAGGCAGGGAAGGACCGACACAATGCGAGGGTGTTTGAGCAGAAGTGAAGCCTTCCAAAACCACGGTGTCATCCGTCGCTGAACAGAGCAGTTCATGGCTGCAGCGTAACCCCCTCGTGGGCATGGGCGGGCTGCCGTTACGTCCCCCCGAAGCCTCCCCTTCTCCAGGCTGAACAAGCCCAGTTCCCTCAGCCTCTTTTCAGAGGGCAAGCACTCCTTTAGATGGCTCTCCATTGAACCTGCTCCAGTTTATCAATGTCTTTCTTGTTTTTCGGGCCCAAAATTAGATGCAGTACTTGGATGGAGTTTAACAAGTGCGGAGCAGAGGGGAATAATTATTTCCCTCAATATCCTGGCTGTGCCCTGGGACACTGTTGGCCTTCCCTGGTGCCAGGGCACATTGCAGTTCATGTCCTGCCCACCGTGACCCCAGAGCCTTTCCAGCAGAGCCAGTAAAGCTGTCCTGCCAGCCAGGCCATCCCAGCCTGTGTCCTTGCCAGGAATTATTCCTTCCCAGGGGCAGGAGTTGGCATTTGTCCTTTGCTGACGTGCATGTGGGGAGACAAGGTTGTTGGCCACCGTCATCAGGGCATGGCTCAGGCACAGCACTTCTTACAATGCCTTCTGTCTCCTGAACTGCTGGCCATCGCTGAGGGCGGTCAGAGGAACCCATCGGTCTCTGTGCACCTCTCTTTCTTAAAAACCCATTTGGCACCTGTTGTTTCCCTGTGCGGGCAGCTCCCTGTAATGACACTTGTCGTCGTTCATCAGTAACCCCCTATGGCACTGCCTTTGTGTTACCGTGGATGCTACGGATGCATTTTCATACTTGCACGGGATTACTGTTAAGAGCACTATGTAGGGCTCAACCTGATTCTTATTCCTGTAAGACCCGTGAAATGCCTGCCTTCGAAACGTACCTCAGCAGTGGTTTCTTCAGAGCTGTCTGAGCGTCGGCTTTCGGAGCACTTAACTTATGCTTTATTCATAGAGCTCAGTGGTTATTTTTAGTGAGAGTGCTGTGCTGATCAATCACATACGTTAGAGGAATGTAAATGTAAACCCGCGCGGTGACGGCTTTTCCCCTCTTTGCATCTGTTACATGCTGCTTTCTCACCTGGTGCCCCGAGGAAGGTTCTGCCCATGCATTGTCTGTCTGACCAATGTGCTCAACTAGTTTTTACCCCATTTGACAAAGGACTAGTCATCGCAGAAGCACTGAGTTTCTGCAGAATTCATGAAGACTTGCAGCTGGACAAAGCTGCAAGTCCCAAATGAGTGTAGCTACAATGCAGATTCTTTGTCTGTTCTGGGAGGCACCGGAATGTGGGTGCTGGATGGATTCAAAGGTTTTTTTCATGGTGAGGATAGTTAAACAGTGGACCGGGGGCTAAGAGAGGTTATGGGATGTCCTTGGAGGTTTTCAAAATGCAACGGGGCAGAGCTCTAAACAGCCTGGTCTGAATTCACTGTCTTGTCCTGAGCAGGGGCTTGGACTGGAGACCTCCTCATGTCCCTTCCCACCTCAGTGATTCTCTGAGCCCGGGCATCGGGTGGGGAGAGGTGGGGAGCAGGTGGCAGCGATGCACTCGGGCGTCACCAGCCTCCTCTTGAGCAATGTCTGCAAGACGCTGCGCAGTTCAGCGTGATTCAGTGTGTCAGGGGGCACTTAGCCAGGCAGCGCGCTGGCGCCGTCGGTGCGAGGAGGAGCTGCAGCAGGGGCGTGCGGGGTCAGAGGAAGGAACAAGCACGTAACTCGCCTCTGAGCACAAGCTTGAACTCGGGGAATGTAAATGAAACCCTGTTAAATGCTGCGGGGAGCAGGGATGTTCATTCCTTGCTGGGTTTCCTGTGTTTGGGCTGATGGATTACACGCTCCCTCTGGCTTTGCTTTGCCTGGACAACATGACTTTCTAGTGTGAACCGTTTTCACAGGAACGTGAAGCTGACGTGTTGAAGCTTGAAGCTGCCCCAGATTGAAGCTGCCCTGTTCCTGTGAAGGAACTGGAAGCTGACATATTAATAAAATGCCGTATTTGTCTAAAACATTTGACTATTCTGCGGTGCAATGCAGGGTTCCCAAAAGAAAACCTATATGTCAGTTTAATAATATTGCAGATTTCGGTTTTGCTCTGTTGTCTGATTTAAGGATTGGTCATCCCATAAGGATGTGAACAAGCACAATATTAAAACGTAACCAAGAGTTTGGGCAGCACTTTAGGGGGAAGCCGACCCCTGGCAAATGGAGCAGAAGAGTTCCTCCCGGTTGTAAAGTTTGCCCAGAACCGCACCTTGCGCAGGGCTCCCTGACCCCCCTCTCAATCAGCTGGCGATGGCCATGGTTTGTAGCTGGATACGGGACTAAATTAACTCTCGGCTGCCCCACCCGGACAATTCCTAGGAACGTGGGAAGAAGTGGAAGGTCAGGCTGGCAGCTGGAATTCAGGGGTTTAAGCAGGAATTTGAAAGTCGTGCTTGGAGAGCAGAAGTAAAGCAGGCCTGGGGGAGCCAGAGGGACTGTGTCCAAGCTGATGCTGATTTTGGCCTCTTCTAGGTGGTGCAAATGCAATGCAACATGGAGCTGAATGAAGACAAGACCCAGTGGCACGTGAGTATTCCACTCCTATTCTGCGTGAGGCACTGGGGCAAGACCTGCTCTCTGCACCCATCTCTGGCATCTGACCGGGAAAAAGTTTGGTCTTGGGTAGTTTCCTGCAGTACCCAAAGGACTTACTCTTGTCCCTTTGTAATAAAAGAAGCCCAAATAAAAACAAAGCCACCAGCCCCCTCTGGCTGCAGGACAGAAAGACTTTGATGTCTTTTAACTCCACTTCTTTCTAGTTTAACAGCCGCAGGTGAGCAGTAGCCGTTGAGAGAACATTCCTTTAAGACACTCCAGCTGCCCAGCCAAAGACATCCCGCATCTCGGCAGCTTCCAGCATCCCCCCTGCTCACCACTGCCGGCACTTTCTAGCGCTGATGGAAGAGTCAGCACCTTTCCCTCTTACGGAGAAACCGCTGTTTGTAAAGAGCACTCTCTTCTTTCCGCAGCTTACTCTTCTGCTGATCCTGGAGGACAAATTGCATCGACAGTTGAGCTACGACTTGCTGCCCAGTAGGTTTACTTGCAACCCAATTGTTGTGCATGAATGTGGAAGCATTGCCTGCTGGCCCTGGCCAGGTTTAGGCTCAGATTGCGTTAGACGCAGATTGTGTTTACAGCCAGCTTCTCTTCGCTTCCCGTGCTGGGAGAGCGGACTAAACCCTAAGAGCTGCGTGGTAGCAGTTTCTGTCCGCTCAGAGCCTGATCTTGCAGCCTCTGGCATGTGGTAGTAACCTGCACTCTAAAGTGAATGTTGGGAGTCCAGTGAGTGGCCACCAAGACCCTGCATTTCGTGGTGTGCAGTTCTTGGGGTAACGCTAGTGAATTCTTCCCTCGTGCCCAACACTGGTGCGGTCTCCGCAGTTCCTCTGAAAGGAGAAGGTGGGCTCTCCTCCGAGGGAACCCCGTGGCTCCAGGGAAGGGTGCTGCTCCTCAGAGTAGGTCCAGCCCAGCAGGCTTCTTCTTGAAACGTGCGGGAGCCTTCTGCAGAGCGTGCAGCTGGAGCCCCTGGGCTGCCTCACAGCCGGAACGAAAGCGTAAAGCTTGGGAGCTGCTGCTTCACCAGCTCCGCGTGTTCCTCTGCCTACAGGTAGTGGCCTGCCTGCTCTTCTTGCTGAGCTGAAACATGGAAAAAAAGTCTCAAAGTGACACATTGCCAAGACTGTTATGCTTTGTGTGATCTGGGGCTGGAGCTCGTCCCTGCCCGGTACCTTGTTCAGCCCCAGCTCGGTGCCCACCTCTGTGCTCTGTTTGCCGCAGGACCACTTGCAGTCACGTAGCCAGCCAAGAGCACGCGGCGTGCCCCCCTGAAGCGTGATGAAGCGTGATGCGTGTGTGCTGCGGGTTGGGATAGGGGCACTGTACTGGCACAGGAGGAACCAGGAGGTGCTTGAACTTTCACGTTCTCACTGTCCCTTGTCTCTGCAGCTGACAACTCCAAGGACTTGGCCACCGAGCTGGTGCATTATGGGTTCATCCACGAGGTAAGCCCCCTCGCCACTCGTCGTGCGTGCACCGCGCTCCCGCAGTCCCCAAACCCAGGGACGCTTCGTGCCTCAGAGCAGTAATTGCTCCCCTGTTCCCCACCTAGCAGCCAGGGAACGGTCGCAGTGAGTGACGCTTCCTTGTTCTCTTGGTTGGGTTTTTTTCTCCGCGCCTTGCTCACGCCTAGCTCCAGGTCGCTGCTTTGAGGGGACAGTCGTACTGTGACTACATCAGCCCCGCAGTGATTCTGAAGGTGAGACCCGGAGGAGGGCCAGGGGAAGGCAGTCGAGGCCAGCTGTCCCGGGGTTGCCTGGGCAGCTGCTCTGCCTTCACCTGGCAGGTTGCTGCCTCCAGAAGAGACGGCGTACCCCGACATCGAGCTCCCAGGCTCTCCCTGAGGTGTTGTGGACAGTCCGGAGAAAGAATCCAGAGCAGCCCAGTCATTCAGACTGCTCAGCAGCATAGCCCCAGGGAAAGGCAGCATGGAGAGAATTGGAAATATATTTATTTTCATTTTGCACAAGTTGGGAATTCTAGGGCTGTAGGCAAAGTTTTGGACAATTCCTTGTTCTGGATGCTGACGTTAGACAAGGGTCAGCTTCACTGAGTGAAAAATTTACCTGAGTACACCTGGAAAAAGGTACATTTAGATTTTCTTCCTTTCTTCACCTGAGCACGGTGACTGTGCAGCTCGGCACCGACGTGCTGTGGTGCTTTCTCCTGTGCTCTGGAAAACACATGGCCTTTAGGGCAGCTGTAGAATACACCTCACCCAGGTCCGTGTCCCACGGGCTGCACATTACCTTTCTCTTTCTTTCTCCTAGGAGTTCACCTCCTTTTAACACGTCTTCCCCTCTCTAACATCTTTCCTACTCCACAGCTGCGTTTTCCCTCAGAAGGTTTGACTGATTCACACCTTGCTAAACGCTGAGCAAATGTCCCGAGCCTGTGTTTAGCTTAGACAGGTCCTGCTTGGCCTTGTGCACCCCAGTGCTCGTCTGGTTTTCCAGCGGCAGTGGTTGGTCTAACAGCAGATACCACCTATGCCTTGCAAATCTTGTCTTCAAAATGCAAGGTTTTTCTTAAAAGTGGTAATTTAGCAGCAGTGGTGACCAAAGGGTGCCTCTAAGCAGCAAGAAAACAACTAATTCTGCATTTTTCGTTTGAGTGAGAATTTTGAGGTTTTTTTCTGGCAGGTCCAAACCCCCTGTATGATACAAGGTGGGGGTGTTTTGCATCCTTTATGTATCATTGTGTATTTCAGTAATTTCTTTCTTAAAGAATAAACATTCTGTTAGAAACCACCCACTCTTGAATGTGTCAGAAAAGAGATTTCTGCACAAAATAGTTGCCAGACCAACAAAGTGTGACATTAATAATATTTTTGTTACCAGTAAGGACATTATAAAACAGATGGACATAGAAAATAACTTTAGATCCAGTGGTCAGTTAATTAAGTGGAAATTAAACTAAACAAAAGAAGCTGGACCTGTTATGTTCTTCCAGATCGGAAGCTCTAAAGAACTGTCTGATCTTTTGCCGTTATGTTGCACCTGACACAAAAAGGCTCCATTCTTGATGGATCATTATGTATTACTCAGTAAATGTCATCATTATTAGTAGTAAGTTCCAGATGCACTTGCGAGTTTTTCTCGTCCCGTGTCAAAACTCAGATGTGAAGTCGGTGGCTTGGGATGGAACCACGTAAGGAAGGAGATGTCCAAGGTAGCCGAGCCAAATTGACCCGTTGGCATGTTTTTTCTTTCACTTCAGGACGACTGTGAAAAGCTGGCTAACTTCCTGGAAAACGCCTTCCACAAATACCGGTCTCCTCCCTTGTGAGTCACCTCCCGCAGTCTGGGACGGAGCGGTCCCGCTGTGCCCCAGGGGACGGGAAGCGTGCCAGACTGGAAGGAACCGGGGGGGCTCCTGGCCGACCTTCCTCCAGCGGGACCGACCGGGCCACCCGCTCCCGACTGAACCTTTGCCGTCCGTGAGAGGTGTATGGCTGAGCCGTCGTGTGAAAAGGCAACAGCGAGCGGAGGAGTAATCAGCAAACCGGAGGAATTACATGTGCATCATGAGAAGTCGGGGCCAAGCCGGAGTACACGCTCTGGCCCCCACTCCTGAAGCAGCAAACCCAAGGGAGTTGTGAGGCGTGGGGCACTCCACGCGTCCCCTTCCCGATGGTGTTTGTGAAGGTGCAGAGCTGCTGCAAGAATCCCCCAAACGGATCAGCTTCCCTCTGGAATGATAAGCTTTTTTCACCGCAGGTCCCAAAGCTATTTGGAGCAGGCTTGGAAAGCTCGGGCGCCGTTTCCAGTCTGCCACATTCCGTTCTTTACACCCAGTTTCCCCTGTTTTGTTAAGGTTTCCCCAGCACAGGCGAACCACTGTGATGCCTTGTAATTCAAATCGCACACCTTCGTGTAAGCTGAAGAGAGGACTTTGTGAGCTGGACTCGACGGGGCATGAAAAGTTCCAGAAGTCCAAACCTGCCAGCTGGATCCAAACATGTGGATCAGCAGAAACCTCACTGGTGCTGAACAGAATCCTCGTCATTCCCCAGTCTGTCTTATGGCCTTCCAAAATCTCACGGCATCTTAAGGGGAAAAACCCCGATGTCTCTTCCTCCCATGCCTCCTGTGGTGTTTGGAACTTCAGTCATCAGCCTGGAGAAAGGGGCAACCGCCTTCGCTGCTGCGTGCATCAGGTTCAGTTGGGGAAAAGTGCAAACAGGAATTATTCGTGTCACAAAAGCCGTGCCGTGCTGCTCCGCGCTGTTCACGTCGTGCCGTGGAGAACCAGCCGTACCGTGCTGCGCTGTGCTGGTGTTCTGCGCCGTGTGGCGCTGCCTGTGCTACGCTGCCCGCGCCAGTTGCGCCGGGCCGGGTTTGCCGTGCTAGGATGCTGTGTGAGCTGCCAGCTTGTGCCGTGTTTCCCAGTTGTGCTGCGCTGTGCCAACGTTACAAACTGACAAATCAATAAAGCCGCTGAAAGTTGCTTGTCTCATCAGAGCACTGCACTCAGCATATGGCTTGGTGATTTCTTAGTCACTCTTAGTTAAACCACGGAGATGTGAAGTAGCTTCCCTGGGTTCAGCTACTGGGACTCATCCACAGTCAGGCAAATTGGGTAGGAAGGAGTTCAGCAGAGAACCATCGTGCAGCTGCTTGATTCAGAAACCACTCTTTCTCCAGAACAAGTTTGCACTTGCCTCTGCAAACTGAGGCGTTCCTTCGTGTACCAACTGCGGGGCCAGCGAGCTCTTCTTCAGCGCATTTCAGCCGAGTTCGTTGTTTGATTGGGCCCTGTCACGGCGCAGTGACCGAGGGATTCCCTTGCTACCGGCTGTGCTGCATTCAGCATCGAGGTGTCCCTCCACCACCTGCTGTAGGGTGTTTCCAGCTCGGGACAGGCTGCCCGCGCGGAATGTAGTGGGACCACGCAAGGTTTCAGGAGGTCCCTTCCAGCCTCTGCAGCCATCGAGTCCAACCCACTGCGCCAGCAGGGTCAGCTGCAGCAGCTGGCCCAGGACCGTGTCCAGTCAGGTCTGAGCACCTCCACAGACGGGGGCTCTCTGGGCACAACCCGTTCCCCGGTTCAACCACCCACAGAAAAAAAAAAGGTGTTTTCCTACGTTCAAATGGAATTTCCCGTTTTTAATTTGTGCCCATTGTACCCCTGAGGAGAGCCTGGCTCCGTCTTTACCCTCTCACCAGGCATTTGCACACACGGGTGAGATCCCCCCTGTGCCTTCTGTCCCCCAGGCTGAGCCCCCAGCCCTCTCGGCCTCTCCTGTGACAGGTGCTCGGTCCCTTCAGCATCTTAGTGGCCAGTCGGCCCGTGTCTGCCTGGAACCGGGGAGCCCAGCCAGGGGTCCGGCACTCCAGATGTGGCCTCACCGGTGCCGGGCAGAGCAGGGATCGGTTCCCTCCAGCAGCCAGCGGTGTTTTCCCCAGCACAGCCTGAGGTGCTGTGGCCTTTCTCTGCTGCGAGGCATCTAGTCTTAAAGACCACGCAGCGCGGGTTTTCCAGCGGTTAACTGCTGTCACTTGATTTGGGCTGGAAATGAGGCACAGCGGGTTATGTTCCAGGTCAGACACTGTGCCTTTATCTTCCAGACAAAAAGAACTTGTGCAATGCAAGTGACCCTCATCATAACAGTAATTAAATCTTTTAACGGCTTTTGATAAGCTTGATTGGCCTGAACCTCCTAAACCCTTTACGGAACGGGCTTTCAGGACCTGCAAACCTCTCGTGGGTTCTCCTCAGCGAGGTTCTGCCTCTCTTCTGCAGCGGCGCTGAGGCCCCACTTTCATGCCGGTTCAACCGAGGGCAAGGGGCACCGCCGGTACCCCACCCCTGCCGGCAGCACTCCTCCGCCAGAACCGCGGCCCTGGGGGCAGGGCCCTGGGGCACGCCTGGCTCCACACCGACCTCCAGGACCCGCTGGAAAAGGGTGAGGGACATGAGGGCCAGTGGCATCCCGGGGTGTATTGGAAGGGGTATGGTCAGCAGGTTGAGGGAGGTTCTCCTCCCCCTCTGCTCTGCCCTGGTGAGACCCCATCTGGAATAGTGGGTCCAGTTCCAGGCCCCCCAGTCCAGGAAGGACGGGAACTGCTGGAAAGAGTCTGGCGCAGAGTCACGAAGGTGGTTCAGGGGGTGGAACATCTCCCTCAGGATGAAAGGCTGAGGGAGCTGGGTCTCCTTAGCTTGGGGGAGGCTGAGGGGTGACCTCATCAGTGTTTATCGATGTGTAAAGGGCGAGTGTCAGGAGGATGGGGCCGGGCTCTTCCCGGTGACAGCCCGTGACAGGACAAGGGGCAGCAGGTGCAAGCTGGAGCGCAGGAGGTTCCACATGAACATGAGGAGAAACTTTTCCACTCTGAGGGTGGCAGAGCCCTGGAACAGGCTGCCCAGGGAGGTGGTGGGGGCTCCTTCTCTGGGGACATTCAACACCCGCCGGGACGCGTTCCGGGGTGACCTGCTCCGGGTGGTCCTGCTCCGGCAGGGGGTCGGACTGGCTGATCCTTCGAGGTCCCTCCCAACCCCCCGACATTCCGTGACAAAGGGCGGG